GGTGAGCTTCCGGCGACTCCAGAGGCCGAGGGCGCTCTAGGCACGCCGCCGGCCCGTGACCGCGACGTTGTCAGGAGTGCTCAGGGCTCTAGCCCAGAAGATGACATGCCGCTGACTCAGCCGACCGGCAACAGTCCAGTCACAGGTAGCGCGCGGTTGAACTTTGAGCTGCGCCTGCGTGAAGTGGCTGCGTCTGACAGTCGACCAGATCCGGTGAGTACGTTGGCAGACCGCCTCCATGGTGTCACAGCTCTCGAAGAGCTGTCTGCCATCCTAGAGCCTGCAGACTTGTTTACCAATTGTCAAGACTCCCAAGCTTTGCATAGGACCATCTCGTGCATTTTGACGCAGATAGTGGAGGAGAACCAAGCAGACGTAGGTGAAGTCGGGCAAGATCCCAGGTTTGAGTTGCGGCTGTTGCTCCCAAGCCCGATGTTCCATGCTGTCCGCACAGTCGCAAAGCAACAAGGCTGGTCCGCAGAGGCTTTGTGCCAGGGCCTGATGGCTAACGTTGGGTGGTTGCATAGCGAAGGGGCACGCATCCGCATGTCACCCCAAGAGATGCATCAACGGACCACATGCATCCCAGCTTTTTTCGGAGCCCCGCCGAGTGCCCGTAAGTCAAGCCTTCATCAGTTCCTCACAAGTGAGCTCTTGGGAGGCGACGCCATTCCGGCCCACGCCCAGGCCAGCCAAAGTTTTTTGCGGCACTGGTACGTTGCGAGGCCACCGCAACAACCTGTTCAACTTTGGTCGCACAGGCCTATCCAGTAGCGAGGTGACGGAAACATACAAGACCAAGTCTGAGAGTGATGGAGTGCCCGCATCCCAATTTGCTCAGAAAAACCACATCAATAAGTGGTGTCACAGCGAGGCCGATAGATCGATCACCGGAAATCTTCGGGACAACAACATCGTCTACAGTTTCTATCACCTGGTCCACGGACAGGTGCCAGCAACCGTGGAGGTTCTCACTGGTGGCACTGCTGCAGACATTGGTTTTGTGAAGAGGTTCAACGTGGTCTTCACCACGCACATGCCCCAAGACTCTCCCGAGCAGTCAACGCAGGCGAGCTCCAAACTCCTGCACGACTTGATGGCTTGGCTCGCGGCGAGAATGCCGCAGACCGCCAGCACAGAGATTGACATCATTACCTTGAGCCCTTTCGCTCGCCAGTGGGTGCGCGTAGTCCTCGAAGCTGTGAGGGACTTCCTTGACCAGCATGGGGACATTTCGGCCGCATGGACCCAGAAACTCATGTACGCCGACACCGACATTCTCCGGTGGGCAAATTGCGTGAACAAAATGAGGGGCTTCTTGGCTTCGATGTCTCAACTTGATCCCAACCAAGTGGCTGCAAGCGTGGATATCATCGACGTGCAGTACGCGCTGCACTCATGGATCCGACAGCTGGAATTTTTTTGCTGCGCTGCAGCGGCATACGAAGTCGTTTCGAAGCTCGCATGGAAGCATGCATGTTGGAGAACTGCGGACCCCAGCAGGGCCGCAGGAGGACGGGCAAGAAGAACAAGAGGTCATGCTGATGAAGTGGATCATCACTGCAACATCAGACACATCAGACACTGTGGTGACCAAGGACCTGAGGAAAATCTTGAAAAACAAACTTAGCCGATTGGGGGGGCTGGAAGCGCACCAAGAAACAGCAGGGGGGAGGAGTCGCGCCCAGCGAACCCAGAACAAGACACAAAGACCGAGCGCAAACACCATGTCCAGCTGTTGCTTTCAGCTACCAAGCGGCTGAAGCAGGCTGGGTTGATCCAGTGGGCCACGGATGAAGCGCAGCCGAAGGCTGGAGTTGGTGGACACGAAGTTTTGACCTTTCGCAAGAGGCCTTGGTCGGAGATTGTGGGAAATGATGAGGCGACCGGGTGGGTCAGGAAGTTGAAGATTGGCATGGAAAACTTCCCCTGTGTGGACGCATGAAGGGCCGCAGTATGCCATTCACGTCACCAAGGGCGTAGATTATCGCGCTTGCAGAAGGCCAGCGGGCACAACTATGAAAGCCACCATATATGACGTCATAGATGTGTGCATCGTATGCAGATACCTGTTTTCTCATGGGAATGATTCCGGATGGCCCGCAAGCGCAACACCCAGCATCTTTGAGCCTTTGAGGTTCAAATTTTGAAAGTCTGCTGGTGTGCATCTGCGACTGCAGCAGAATATGGAAAAGAAGATAGGACAAATTGCGGTTCGCTTCCAGCATGAGTGTGATTGTGTGACTGGTTTATTATCTATTACAGTAATTTTTTCCATGCCGTTGCAGCAGTGCCAGAATATCTTTTTAGCACTGATGGTATTCACTTGCTGATCGTTCGTTAGGCTGCAGCCCCTAGCTCCGGACCAAGGGCGCAGAGACGAGTGCCAGAGTCGATCGACAATCGAGACACCGGATGCAAGCGCAATATTTCAAGCAGAGCTGATACATATATGTTCACCAACTCCAGCTTTCGGCTGCGCTTCAACCGTGGCCCACTGGATCAGCCCAGCCTGTTGAAAGCAACGCGTGGACATGATGTTTGCGTTCGGTCTTTGTGTCTTGTTCCTCGCGGGGGCACGACTCGTTTCTTGGTGCGCTGCCTTGGTTTGTTTTGCAAAATGTTCCTCAGGTCCGTGGTCACTATGGTGCAGTGATGATCCACTTCATCGGCGTGACCTCTTGTTCTTCTTGCCCGTCCTCTTGGAGCCCTGTTGGGGTCCGCAGTCCTGCGCCATGCGTGCCTCCATGGACGCGAGCTTCCATGCGATCTCGCAGGTCAGCCAAAATTTGCAGCTGTCGGATCCATGCAAGTGGGATCCATGATGTCCACACTTGCTTGGGATCAAGATCAAGTTGAGACGTCGCCGCATGAGTTTCTGGGTCCGTGCGGCCGACATGTCCCCATGCTGGTCACGGAAGCCCCTCACAGCTTCAAGGACTATAGGCGCCCAAAAGGACTCAAGAATGTCAATCTCTGTGCTGGGTGCCTGTGGCAGGAGTTTATAGGGTCTTGGGGCCTACGCGTGGTGAAGAAAACGTTGAACCTCTTCAGGCAACCAATGTCTGGAGGTGCAGGCTGTCCGTGAGCCATGTGATAAAAATTGTGGACGGTGTTCTCATCCCGAAGATTTCCGGCAATTGACCGATCGGCCTCACTGTGGCACCCCTGATCCGTTTCATGTTTCTGAGCAAATTGGGAGGCAGACGCCCCATCACTCTCAGACTTGGTCTTGTAAGTTTCCGTCACCTCGCTGCTGTGGCCAAAGTTGAAGAGATGATTGCGATGGCCTCTCAGTATTGAGGAGCTGATGAAGGCTTGACTAGCGGGTGCTTGGGGTCCGTTGACCTTGTGGTGACATGCGGATGCGTGGTCCTTTCGCTATGCAACTGTCCACTCCGTTAAGTGGTGCTTGACGACTGCGTGGACAGTACGGAACATCAGGCTTGGGGACAAAAGCTGCAACTCAAAACTAGGGTCTCGACCGGCTTTAGCTACGTCTGCTTGGTTCTCCTCCAGTATCTACAACAAAACGCGCGAGATGGTCCTACGCAAAGCTAGGGGGGTCTGCAACTGGCCAAGATATATAGGTGTGGTGACGTGACAGCTCCCGTGCCGCAGCTTTCTAACTTGGCAGGTCGGAGCGCTGCAGCAAGCCAGATGCAGCGTCGGTCCGACGCGTATCAGGCTGGGTAGGAAATTGCAAGAAGAGAATAGCAGTGTAGTATGTTTCTAGCACAGGGCAATGTCACTGCCTCAGACTTTGTTAGTTCACTTGCAGATCGTTCCTTAAGCTGCAGCTTCTAGCTCGGTATCAAAGGCGCAGAGAGAAGCACCATAGCAATGAACTGAGCCAAATCGACATGTTTCTGGATTTCGAGTCACCAAATTAGGCAAACGCCATTTTTCAAACGGAGCTGAGACGTAGGTGTGGTGACACGGCAGCTCGCATGTCGCAGCCGGACCGCGCGTTGCTTGTGCAGCCGGTATGGGCGCAGCGACTCTTGCAGGGCGAGGTGAATTGCCTGGTGAAGCCGCATAGCACCAGCGTCAGAGGCTTGGTGTTCCTTGCCGAGGCACGGACAGGGCGAGTGGTGGGCACAGCGCGCCTGACATCAGCTCGTCAGTTGACGCCTGAGCAGATGGCCTCGGAGCCAATTCGACAAGAGGTCATGGAAAGTGGTTTCAAGTCAGCCCATGCATGGTTTCTCGAAAACGTTAGCGGCCTTGATGCCACCTGGGTGATACCTGCGGAAGCCCGGAAAGGATGTGCTCAATGGATACCTCGCCAACGTTGGGAGCCTGCAGCGCCACTGGCTTTGCCGAATCGAACAGTGCGGCCTGCTGCCAGGGCTTGGCCGAAGCGGCTGCCCAGGAAACGCCCATGTGGGTGGACAGAACCAGAACTTCGACCTCGCAGGCATTTCCCCAGGCAACGGTCAAAGCCCAAAAGCAGCAGACAGAGACAAGCTAACCGGTGCCATGCCAATGAGCCAGCAGCTACGCTGGAACAGCCCTTGCAACGGAATGGCTCGGTCATGCCCTTGTCACACCGTTTGGCTGCTGGCAGGACCAGGGATCGACAGCTGCACTTGGCACAGATGCACCTTTTTCATGAGCCTTGCAGACTGCATGAGCCCCAGCGGCCGCAAAGCGGTCTCTTTGCAGAACACGAAGGGAAGCCTGTCTACGTGGTAGGCACATACCTAGACACCAGAAAGAAAAGACTCATGACTGATGTTCTGCCCCTTAGTCAAGGCGAGGATAGCGCTTCATACTCAGCTTTCCGGAAGCAAATTTTCAGCTGTCCGCAGCAGACCCTGCGCAGAGTGGGCCAGGAGGTGTTGGTGCTGGAAAAAAGGAACCTCAGGAAGGAAAGGCTGCTGTTTCGTGTGGAGTCCAGGGTTCATGCCCCCCGCGGATGCAAGCGAGCAAGTGGACTCTGAAGGCAGGGCCCCCTGTCTTGATGGCATGCAGGGCTCCTGATGTTTTCCAAAATTATGTGGTACCATGCGTTCCTGTGTTTTGTGTGTCTGGGCTCCCCTTTTGTCGCAGGTTCACGTCAAGGACACGAGCTGGAGGAGACCGGGCAGTGTGCACCTATACCTCCCTTGGTGGACCCCTGTCAAGCCTCGGAGTGCGAAGCACAAGAAACGGTGCATTTTGCAGGTGTGCAGCCTGCCACGCGGGTCAAGCCTTTGCTCGCAATTCAGCATGGCCCTTGTGGAAAGCATGGCCAGAGGAAAGGCATCGTGGTGCTGCGGAGAAAATGCCACGCGAGCAGGTACATTCTAGATTTGCCGGCGCCCATAGTTTTGGATACTCGGCCATGGCGTTGCCTTGCATGCGGGCTCTACTTTCCTGTCAAGATCAATGATATACAGAATCGTTTTCCGGGCACTTTGGTTGCTAAGTGCGCGAAGCAAGCCCATGTTTTCTTCACGAAGAGATTCCTGCAACTTATCATTGGCAAATTCGGGGAGACCTTCAACGCCGCCGCGGTCAAACGGTTCGTATTAGACCTCTACCTGGCCAATACCATCTACATCAATCACGCGGAGAGGGCTCTATGGGCCATCGATTCCATTCCACGCCTGTCCTCCTTGCGCTTCATGCTGCGGGAAGCCTTGCTATCTTACTTGCCTGGACTAATCCGACATATTGAAGAACATGTCCATGTGTACAGTGGCTCAGCAATACGGGGAGATGGTCACTACAAAGTGGCTGCGCGTATTCGCGTCGCTGACGGAACACCTCCCAGTGTCATATATGCGTGGTGTGGTGTTGATGGGGCTCTGCTCCGCCCGCCTGCTGCCCTGGCAAGCGAGACATGGCCTGTCTTGAAGGAGGACCTGGCCAAATTGATCCCTGATTTGGCGCGCAACAGGAAGCGGGCTGGCCTGCCGGGACAGGCGGTATACCCAGCTTTCCACGCGACAGACACCTATGGAAAACATCGACTCAAATTGCAGTCCTTCTACACCACCTTGGCAGAGCCGCAGCTGTCGGTGTCCGCCAAGACACCCCAGGCAGAGGCGCAGTCAGCAGAGCCAGCAGAGAAGTACTGCCCTACCTTGCAGCTCGCCCACAATTGAGCAAGTGTGGTCTTGTTACTCAGTCCCTTGTATGTTGCGTGTGTTCTTGTGCTTCCTGGGCGTGTGACCGCAATTAACTCGCAGACTTTGTGTCTCTTCAAGTAAACAATCTGTTCATATAAGACGCAGATTTCTGCGCAGGATCACAGGTGATCCTGCGCACGATTGCTTCGCCTTGCGACGTTTGGTGAGTACAAAATCAACTGACGCCCATGCTTTCCTGAGCGCTCACCGAGACTTGATGGAGAGGTTGAGTTTGCCAAGTCCCCCGCATGCGTCCTATGCCAGTGACAAAAGCTCCATGTGCGAATTGCCGGAGGACATGTTAGCAATGTGGTAACTTTCACGAACCATCTAACATATAGCACATCCATGCCAACGCTTCAATGTAATGATGTTTGGATGTGCCCTGCAGGAAGCCAGGTCAGCATTGCAGCTCCTCATTTCAGATGGTGCGAAGGGTAAGGAGAAATGCGGGCAGAGCACTCTCCAGCAAGTCCACGCCTTTTTTGCAGCAACCTTATGTCACAGAAGCGACTACGTGGCAGGAACTGTATGGCCGACAGCCTCCCCGATGTGTCGTCTCTACCCTGCTGCGGGTCCTCGGCAAACAGGATGACCTTCATCCAACCTTACAGAGATGGAACTACAGAAGTAAGAAAGAATTTCGTGTTGAGAGCCGACGCATTTTGCGATGGTGGTCTCGCTGTGTGCGCCACAAGGCTACTTTTAGGAAGCGCATCCTACGAGATCGGCAGAAGGCATTTTGGACGCGCAAAGTATGCGCTGTCAACACCAAAGTTCGGGGTCACTTCAAGCGCATGAGGAAACCATTGCGGGTCGAAGGGTTTTTTTGCTTGGAAGCAAGCTGCTGAGGCGACCCGGGCAGCCGCCATCCCAGTCCAGTCTGGGACAATTCCAGTTGAGAGGTACTGGGCTTGCCTGTTGACCTATCTCCCCACATCGTCCCAGTACATTTCTTACAAGTGGTACTCAGTGTTAGCTGGTTTGGCCTTTGTGAAGTACAATTACCATCACTTTGCAGGTAAAGCGCTGTCAGGGATAGCGGAGAGAGACGTAGACGTGCAGAGCAAAATTGAGACAGCGACGATGCTTGCCCGAGTCCTGCACAGTGCTGAGGAGAGCCGGTGCAAGCATTTGAACGCTCTGTTCGATCCTTTCCGGGACGATGAGCATTGCTGATGATGCAGCGGTAACCTCAAATGAGGTTTCCCGGAACGGAGATGACTTTGCTTTGACCAAAAGCTAGATTTGCCTTAATATGAGCAAGGGGAGCTGGATGGCACGTCGATTCCGTTGGTCAACTTGTTTTTGTCGAGAAGAAGCTTCCTCGCCCGGACGCTTTTGTCTAACCGAATGCTTTTAAATTGTTTTCAGATGATGTGACAGGAATCTGCTTTCTTAATGGCTCCAGGCCTTGCCGAGGGATGCTTGCGCCCATAAGGTCGCCAGCTCAGTTTTGCTACCAGAATTGCTCTAGGTAGCTCAGATGCCCGTGTAAGCCATTTGATAATTTTGCTCTGACGTCGAGCGATTCATTCATGTTCCAGTCGTGGGGTGATGGGTGTTGAACCCGGGGGCCCGATTTCATTTAGTGTTGGTGGTGGTTGAGATCCTAGGTGGAGGGGTAATAATTAGCCCAAACATGGGAGAGGAGTGCTCTTGCTTTGGGAGTCAAGATCTTCTTGCCTCAAACATCAGGCTACAGACACGTTGCGGAGAAACAATTTATGCCCAGGCCGTGGTGTCTTGACCCTGGGAGAGTTGGAAAGAGGGATGGCTTTGGCGAACGGCGCCGAACGGTGCGAACACGAGTGGGTGAGGGTTTCGAAAGAGCTTTCTCTTAGGGCCGACGTCTCGTCGAGGCGGCTCATGGAATCGCTACTAGGAGCATTCTTACTAGTAACAAGAAGCTAGTACAAGAAGCTACTAGTAGCGTTGCAAGAAGCTACTGGAGGCATTCATGTCTTCTAGAGTGAGCGTTGTGACACTGATCTGTTGACACAGCGCTCTGAGGAAGCACTTCAACACCGAGGAGGAGTTCCGCGCATTCTTCGGGAATGCGGATGCCAGCCAGAGCTGCTTGGCAGAGGCGCGGGAGATTCGTGGCATCCACAGGGCAGGACAGTTGTCTAAGAGCACGCCCCTGTGCCGTCGATCCGCGGGTGGAGTTGACCACGACCTTTGGGGAAGCAGATCAGTTTTTGGTCACTTGACCATCCCTCACAATGTGATCTCATATATGGATTGTCTTTGTTGAGATCAATCCTGGCCAATGCAACCTGTTTTCATGCAACTTCTTAAGTTGTCACTGCCGCTCCTGGCTCGTGCCCAAGTGGCACCCACTGACCTCTGCTTTCCGGTTGCGCCCGAGCAGTTCGACCGGAACCACCGACCCCGGTACGTCGCCAGGCGGTGGCGCAAATCTCGAGCGCGATCGCGTGAGGCAAGGCGCTCCAGGCGCCTTGGCAGTTGAGGCTGGGATGGTGGAGGGTGTCGATTTCGAGAGCTGCCGGATGAAGTTTTTTTGGCTGTTTGGATGTTGTTGGCGGTGTTGGAGGTCGGGATGGGGGCGAAGTGATATTGTTTTTTTTTCATGAGTTTTCAAGTTTTTTCCATACAATTTCCTAGATTTGATCTGCCTCGATCCGCGCCGACGGCGCGTGCTGCTAGAACTGTGCAGAACACTCAAGCAGAACACTTGCAAAATCGATGGAAATGCCTGCTTGCACATGTCCAAACTGTCCGGATTTTCACGCTTTTAATCAACTCGAGCACCCCAATGGCCGAAACGTTCCCGATGGCTTTCGCAATAAGTGAGGACACGCTCAGACTCGTTTCTCTTCACAAACTCGTTTCTCTTTGCGCGAAGGGACGGTGGTTATACAAACATACTTTGCTGGTTGACATCCCCCCAAATAGACTAACTATTTTTCCTGGTCCTGAGGGTTTCAAATCCTTTGAAACCAGACCGGGTCAAAAGCTGGTGACAGGAAGTTCAGACCGTGTTTTTTCTTTGGGAGGTTGGCCGGGTGAAGGTATTCTTTTCGGCAGATGAGGTCCCATCCAGGGTCCTCACGCATTACGTTGAGTATCGCACTTCCTTGACCATGAGGTAAGAAGGACATTAATGGACTTTGCCTTCTGCCACGAGCGGCCGATGTGGGCTGGTCCTTGCGGCCGATGGCAGACTTGCTGAACGTCAAGGCCTTTTGAGTTTTCACGAAGGCATCGGAACCATGTAAAAGCAAAGGAGTTTGTTCTGAGGGACGCGAAAGGATACCCACATTGTATCCCAGGCATCCCAAAGAAGATCCGCACAGTGGTGACAGGTTGAATCAGAAGATGATCTCATCCTTCTTTTTCCTCCCGCAGACGTATCCTTGGCATGGAAGGCTACCTTATATAACTATACGGGTATGTAATCCAGGGATACCCGTGAGTTGCTGGATTAGTTTGCTTGGTATATATATA